TTACAAATCAAAAACACTACTACTAGTTACATAAGAACAGAATGCAATCAAATACATCTCACTTTAAAATTACAGCAAAATGCCTAACAAATAATCCTTAATTCCTATGATCCTAGTCCAGTTTCCTCTGTTAAATGTCCTTCATTTAAAGTTGAAGTTCTCTAATCTGTTGCATGAAAAATAAATCTAAAAATATATATTTTCAACAAATTATACTAACATAAAAAAAACACTATCACCAGCTTGTACCAGTTCTACTGACTTAAAACGCAAATAAAAATATATTATACAACTTGCATGTTATTGCCAAATCCACAAGTACCGACAGTTCAATTTTTTTTAAGTGTTAATACTCCAACATCATTAGAAAACAATTACATTGTATATTTCTTTCAACTTTGCCTATGCCAGTGTTTCCAAAACTGTATTCAGAGGAACACTGGATTCTATGAGAGATTCTCACAAGTTTTATAAATAAATCTCTCTCACGGTGAACTTTATTATTAATGCTAATTATGAACGGAGGTTCTGATAAAATAAATTCACTAACCCATGGAAAATCAGTCACGCCATTTTCATTCCATTTCTCCAGAATGGTGCGAATCCCTGCAGGCAGTAATGCCATCAGGGCAGTAGCTAAACTGTTTGTCTTGTTGCAGCGACTTGAAGAGATGGCTAGAATTTCTTTGAATGCCTGGAAGTCTTGTAAAGAATACTTGCCTACTGGCTCTGAACTCTCATTCATTTCATACAATAAACTTGACCTAAAAAAAAGGTTGCTTTGTACACACTCAAGAATTCAAAACAGTCATGCAGTTGTGCACATATCGGACCACCTTGTTTTAATAAACCTATCAATATACTTTAAGCAAAATAAGAAAATTAACCCATAATCATCAGTAACTCTGAAACAACGTTATGTAGAATAAGGCATAACATACGTCAAACTTAAAACCAACATGCCCATACAAACCAACTCCTGTTAAGTTCTTGTGCTACTCTTTACACCAGATTAGCAACTGGCATGACACCACAAGTTCTTTACAAATACAGTACTCAAAATATGCATACCTGCTACAGGCTATAATGGTTTCAGTAAGTTGCAGGACATGTGGTAGCAAGTCCTGAGCAAGGTCACCAGATGATGGAGATACATCTGTTGCTTGGCTACTTCTGCAAGGATAAAGTATTATATTAGGGATATGGATATTATTTGAAGCAAATAACAGAACTGCAGGCAATGTGTGCTAACATAATAGATATAATACATGAAGATACATAATACCTGAAAGAAACCCATGGGACAGGACAGAATAAAATGGTTCAGCCATAACTTACATTCAAACTGTTTCTTACTTAATGGACAATAACAGAAGTCAAAGGATTAACACTACTTTAAGCAACATGAGTTATGAAGGATTTATGTGAAAGAATGAAGAATAATTTGTAGGTTCATAGTTCATTTCAAAAATAAATTGGTCTATAACTGCAGCATAATTATGTCGCTTACTTTGTTGAATCTCCAGTTTCTGTAGCTGGTTTCAATACTCCTTCATCCATTAACACTTGGATCTTGGCTATTATCGCATCCAGTAAGTACAGATCAGATAATTGTGGAAGGTTTGACTTAGGAACCAAAGAATCTACAAAAATTAAAAAACAATGTAACCATTGCCATCAATATAACACAAAATTAAGAATAAACACTAGAAACATTTAACCCCTTTTGCAGTGATGGATGAGTTTATAACCACATGTGTAGGACAATCAGGAGAGATTAATTAGCACATGAATTGTTGAGGTATGTCCTTTAATGTAATATTTCATGCATGCTCTTTTTCAAAAACCTCTTAATTTTTGGTGCAAGTAAACTGGATCAACTTTGTGTGTAATGTACTATGTTATTTATTACTATAGCTGTGAAATGACTTAACTGATGTTTTGGATCTGGCAGACTTCAAACAAAAACACTACTTTCGTTGCTATCATCACTGCAAAACATTGGTGCAAACAAGATTTTAATTCTTATTCTGAATAATAATTTGCATTTGATGATTTTACAGGTGAACTATACACATTCTTTTACAAGTCATCAAACCTGAGCGGTTAACACTTCTGCTTCATATGCATAAGGTTGCCAGGTCCAGTACATCACCGAGAGAACATCTATCATGTCTGAGGTGTTAGTACATGGCCCAGAAAACAGCTGGCATGTTTGAGGTTTTTTCATAATTTTCACTTGTATTTCTGGGGAAATTCTAAGACAGTATCAATAAAAAGCATGTCACAGCTCACCTGACTTCTGTACCTGCGGACGAAATGCAGTAATGCAACCCTTTGCAACTCCAATGTCATACTTCAGATTATTCACTGCTTTAGCAACATTTTTTAACAGTGTCTCAGCATATTGTGTATACATGCCCTGCTTCACCAAACAATCCTACAACAAAACGTAGTTTCAGATAAAAAAATCACAGAATCCTCAAAACTAGTACAAATAAATATTACAGGATGCAATGGTAACATGCTCAATGAGAGCTGGCCTTCTACAGAATAGATGGAAGAATAGTGTAGAGAACAGAATAATAAATCCATGTGCAGCAGAGTCCTCCTTGAGAAGCTTATAGTTGGTCAGTTTGGCAAGAAATTCCCCACCTTTAGTAAAATCAATAAGGTGCCTTACTATGTTCACACAAAGCTGCCACCAGTCCCTATGAGCCACAAGAATGCAGCCCACAACCTTCCAGGCTAGTTCTTTCAGATTTTGATCTGATTTTATTTTATTATTTATTTATTGTTCTGTCTGACGACAGGTCCATATGAACGGGATCCTTCCATCCTTTTCTCGAACTGGGACCTGTTCATATACGTTCTTGGCAGATGATCCAGAAGTGGTTTGCCATTGCCTTCTTCTGTGTGTGAATGGAGTAATTGTTGGGATGCCACGGAGAAACCGGGGAAGCCCCCGGAGGAAAACTCCGTGTTGCCTAGACCACGGCCTTGCCCAACACAAGTTATAAATTCGGGCACCGCCGGGAATCGAACCCGAGACCCCGGGATTACAAGGCCAGCGTTCTAACCGCTAGACCACCGTGGCTTATTTTGATCTGATACAGTTCCTTAAATTCTACAATGTTAGTTCCTTTACATTAAATCTTGCATATCACACTTTCATTCTGCTTGTTTCCTTAGATGAAGTATCCCCCTAACTTCTGCAACCACCTAACAGTTGTCAGTAACACACTACTCAGCTCCTCTAAAACATAGGACATATGACTTGTTACCTTCTGTTTATCAAGACTAAATCTGACTGTGTGCCTTTCTGTCAGGAAAGGTCACTTATAAATACAGATACGCATATCCGGAAATGGCTATAAAGTTTGGGCAAACCACGTTGCTAAGTTTGCTGCCAAATCACGTACATATATAACCATGCCCTGATGACGGAGGCAGTATGACCTCTGAAACGTTGGTTAACATCGACCAGACTACACAGCGCAACAACCCAGAAGACGGATATCTTCAACCATGTATCACTTTGCACTACCAAATCAAAGCGTCAAATGTTATATGCACCCAAATTTATATACAAAATTTTTATAAAAAAGATGTGCAGGGTACATGGATAAATATAACAGAAAGAGCAAAGATATAAACATACCTTCATCCAGCCAGTAAATGTTTTATATGCAGAACGCGGACCCCATATCAAGGAATGCAATAACATAGGAGGGTATGTGATGCCCTGTGGTTCAGAAAGTGTGTCCATATAAGGGGTTGAAGGTGGCAGCAGGAGTAACAATCTGTAACACATAACACAAAATTGCTCTTATGCTGTTAATGAATAACAGAACATAAGGTGTAACCCAAATGTTCATAGATTGATTCTTTTGGAACTACATGGCAATGTGAAAAATTTGGCTGACAAGGAACACATATTTTTGCTGTAATATAAATGATAATGCACTGACTTGCATGCAGATCAAACATATTCTTGGACTGAAAGTTTGGAATAAATGGTGCAATACTATATTCTGTAATGAAGTAAAGCACTCATTTATCTCAAAACTATGCATTTTCTTGTGCTGCCTTGTTTTAAGTTGTGGGTTGCACCTTATATATTTCTGCACAGTTCTCATTGCAACAGTTCCTGCACTCAGTCATCTTTTATAAGCTTTTATATTTTACATTAAAAAATCACTTGTTAAAGCATGTTTATTTATTTAAAATGTAAGTGGTTACCACAAATAAACAAAATTTAAATGTCACTGTCAACAGTGTTTTGTCACAAATATGTTCATTATTTTTTGGATATTGTCTATGATCACAATTTTTTTTAAATCTGATGTTATAGAAACTGGCTCGTCTCCATCATCTGGCAGAAGGATGTCATTTCATACTCAGGTGGGCCCAGTGGCTACAGATAGTCTCAATTCCTGTGTGCAGCGCTCTAACCAACAAGTCCATAAGAGTATGAAACTTATTATCCTGCTACCTCATGATGGTAAAGCTACTGAAACACCACATTTAAAAAAGCTAATAACAACAGACAATGTCCAAAGAATAATAATCAGTTTATGGCAATGCTGTGCTTATCATTACTGTAATGAGATACTTACCTCCAGCAAATGGTAAAACAGTACTGAATAGTGCAAAGGCCAGTGAAACTGAGTTTCTCCCCTCGCTTTATGCTTGGACTACACTGACTTGTCACATTTAGAATTTCTATCAGAGCATCTATCAACAGTGGATATTTCAGCTTATCAGGTGTACCAAGAATGAAGTTACAAGCCTAGAAAAAATTAACAACTTATTTTTAATATATCACATGTATGGACTTTAAATACATACCAAGGAACATAGTACTTTTTGAAAAGTGTCTAAGAACACTGCTCTCACAATAAAATCCAATCACTTATACAAGTTTTCATAACCTAAACAGAAAATGACGTAAAGAGAAAAAAACTGAGAGGTTAATGTACTCAGTCCCCAACAGATGTCAGCAACTTAGTCTTTAAAAAGCTGAATTTTGCTGTATATGCATAGTCTACAGGCCACAGAAGGTGCTAAATTATACACACGCATTCATACTCCATGCAGCACCCTGACACCAAATGTACTGGTATGTTCACACTTAAAAGGTTACACATAAACATTTCAACAAAATAAAACATGAACTGAGGCATACATTCACCATTTTCACTCTCTCTAAACAAAATGGTCTCTCTATCATGTATTCTAGTTAAAAACTACTTTTATTTTTAACCTCTGTATCTCAGTTTGCAACAGAGCTTCACAAAGTCTCAAATGGAGCTTCAGACAGATGTAACATATGCCACAGTCCAAATTCTTATAATACAAAAGGCACTGAATGGACAGAAAGTGAAAGACCTCAATACACAGTGATCTTACCAATTAAAAATGCAACGAAATAACACATAGTGCACTCAGAGTAAGGGTATAAAGGAAAAGAAAACATGACAATGCTACTATTAGGAAATGGTGCAGAAGAAAATTTGGTTTTAGAGGTGTCTTTCACACAATCTGATCATTTTTTGGCCATCTATAACTGACCAACATAGTTAAGTTTTTAATACATCTACTTCTGATTACAGTATATAGCAAAATCTGCTTCATTTTCAACCTGAACCTAGTTAATCCCTACAGTGAATGTTATGAAAATCACCATTTCCTTCAAAGACAATTTAAAATGAGTGTTCAAACTACATTCAACCTTCCTGTGTAAGTTAAAATATTGGGATGAGTAAAATGGAAAAAAAGCATTCTTATTAAGTGGGTTTGCATTACATGGTGCTACTTCAGTACACACATCTACTTGTTACAGTCAATATACAGAATCGATCTTCACTTCTACCATACATCATAAAAACTAATTTAAAAAATGTAAATTACCAGTCCATCCAATTTTGGTGTATCCTGGTTATTAATTTCTGCAACAGTCAAGCTGTAAAATCGTGGCTTCATGGAAAATTCATCTTGAGGACCATACTTGCGGTAATTATCTTCAATTTCTTTCCAAGGACAGTATATGCGTGAAGCCACACGTGAACCATCTTTGTTATCTGACATATCTCCAACCATGCTTGTCGCACTGAACAAGTTCCACTGGACCTGCATTTATAACAGACACTCATTTATATATCCTAGATAGTTTTTTTATCTTTTTCAAAGTTATTAAAGAATATACAGGTAGCACTCGATTTTCGCCGGTTCAATTTGCGCCAATTCAGAATAATGCCGATTTTGAAACCAGCAAGTCAAAAAGTGAAGAAGAAAAAATTTTACTATTATTTATAACGTTTTACAATGTTTCTTGTACTGCTTCTTATACTAAATCGTAGTTCTTACATCATTGATTTTCAATAAAAATTATAAATACAGTCATCTCTGCAATTACATATGTTTCATTGACGCAAATTTGCTCCAATGAGGTCGACAAATCAGTAAAAGCTGTTTGTGAAATGCAAACTTTTGCATATGTGAGTTTGCTCTTATGCAATTTCATTCCTGGCACTTTAAACTTCCAAAGGACTAATTTAATCTCTGCGGAAGTACCGGGGTTATTTTTACTACGCGATTTTCTATAGGTCAGCGTCTTACATGAATGCAACTATCGCATAACAGCAACAATGACTGTACACATCAGTCACATGAAAGAATCGCAGTCAATCGCGGGACCAACAAATTGCCAATTGTAAGTGTATAAAATATATTTTTTAAATTCCCTTTATTTTATTTACGTTATTTCAGAGCTTTAAATGTAATGCCATTATATTACTCATCAATGTTTGGGTGCTGGGAATGCATGGCATTGACTTCCCATTGATTTATATTATAAAAGAGCTTCAATTTACACCAATTCCATTTACGCCGGTTCGTCCAGGAACGCATCCCTGGCGTAAATCGAGAGCTACCCGTACTGATTTCTGTTTTAGTATATCTTGTTCATAGGATGTATGCTCTTTGGCATACTGGATACTTTCCTTATTGCTTGAATTTCATATTTTCCTGCCTAACAAGCTGTTCTGTTCACTTTCATAATGTTGTTTGCAAATCTATGCTTGCATTGCCTCTAACTATTCATCTTTAATTCTTGAGAAACTACAGTTCAATACCCTTACCACTATTTCATAGCATTTTACTCTGTTTAATAAAGATGAAAAAATACCTTAAAACCTTCATCATTTCTTTCAGTGTACATGGGCCATATTACTAACTCCAGAGCAAAATACTGAGGTTCATCATTGTGTTCACAAGTGCCACTAGATCCTATTTCAACCAAGATAAATCTAGTCTACAAGCAGTCAACAAAAGTACTGTGTATCTCAAGCTTTATATTAAAAGCCATATTCAATTTTACAAAGCATACACAACAATAACTGGCATTACAAATTATCTGCAACCATTAATTTCACTGAAAGTGGAATACAGGAAATGGGAAAAAGGAATTAAAATGCTTGGGTTAAATTTCTCTGGAAGTTCAGTATCATAGACGAATCTCACAGAGTGAAAAAATAAATTAAGACAAACTTCATATTTAAGATTCAGATACACATATCTACTATTTTATCTTTGTTTATACAGTTATGAAATTTCACCTCTCATCCTAAGATAAGAACATGGGCTGAGGGTGTCGATAATGTGATGGAGCACTTGGACTTAAGAGGGAAAGTAATCAGACAATGGAGAACTCCAGTTTGTGCCTTTCATTATTTGGAGGAAGAGATGGATGGGACATGTAGCACATGTGGAGAGAAAATAAAAGTGAAATTGTAGACAGGACACCCAAAGGGAAGAGAACACTTGGATAATCTAGGCATAAATAGAAGTAAAATCTTATAATACAGTGAAACCTCTATCCATCGTTCCCGGAACTATCGTTTTCCCGGATGCATCGTCCGTTTTGTTCGGTCCCGAATACATCCCATATAAAATAATGTTACATTTTCCCGCTTCTATCGTTCCTCGAACTATCGTTTTATCGCATCAAAAATCTTAGTCCCGGCCCACAATGTTCCCGCAATGATCGTTTCTGAGAAATTGTAACGAAATTTACGTGATATTTTTAGAATTTAATTCCGAAAGACGCACAATGTTTTTGGAATACACAGTAGCGGTAACCTGTTATGTCGCCCAACCAGCACATTCTTTTGGAATGAGGGTCAGCGGTGCAGGGGTGATAGTTGGAGTGAATGGCGGTGCTCATTGTCAGAAATTTTACGATTTTAATTAGGGTGCACTCATATTTCGTTCCAGCGATGCCAGATGGCATGTGCAGTGTGAATTTCTTCACAAATGCTTTTATTACAAGGACAAAGGAAAGGCGAAAGTGCTGCTGTGGATGTGGAAATAACGGAGCTGTGGCTCGAGAGACTGCCAACACTGCTGGAGGGATATGAGCCGCGGGACATTTATAATGCGGATGAGACCGGACTTTTCTACAACGCCCTCCCGGATAGGACTCTGGCATTGAAAGGTGAATCTTGCCACGGGGGAATACGTGCAAAACACCGAATTACTGTTCTTCTGTGTGTTAACAGTGACGGTAGTGACAAACGGGTTCCGATTGTAGTTGGAAAATCACGAAAACCGCGTTGTTTCAAAAACATGAAAAAACTTCCGGTGAAATATCACGCCAACAAAAAGGCTTGGATGACAACAGACATCTTTACGGCGTTTTTAAGTTCTCTGGATGCCTCCATGGGCGCACAAGGCAGAAAGATTTTGCTGTTTGTTGATAATTGTGCCGCTCATCCGAAGGACACGACATTTCTACGAAATGTGAAAGTCGTGCAGTATCCAGCAAATTGCACGAGCGTCTTGCAACCGCTTGATTTGGGCATCATAAAATCTTTCAAGCAGTTGTATAGAAAGCGCCTTATGCAAACAGCTGTATGTGCATTGGATGCTGGGAAGGATGTCAACATGAAAATTGACGTGCTACAAGCAATTCATTTCACAGTGGCAGCTTGGCGGCATGTCTCCCAACCAACTGTTCTGAATTGTTTTCACAAAGGTGGCTACGGGTGTGAACTTCGCACAGAAGCAGACTCTAACGTCAGTGTGGATGAGCATGATGGCTTTCACGAAGACTGGAATAGATTTGGCGCCGTGAAAGACGTGGTTAAATTTGGTGACTACGCGGCAGTGGACAGCGAGCTTGCTAAATACATGCGGAGTCGACACGATTGATAAGTTGTGTGACGATCGCGAAGGGGGTGGGAGCGGTGAGGAAGACGACGAATGCGAGCCCGAAGCTGTGCCGAGTTTTGCCGAAGCACACGCTGCATTGGCAAAAGTGAAGTCGTTCTTTTATGCCCATAATATTAGCGAACGTGACGAGGAAAACATTTTGAACGTGGAAAGTACTCTGTTTGGTCTAAAACGTAAAGTTTCGACAAACCAGTTGTCCATTAAAGACTTTTTTGGTAAAAAGAAGTAACTTTGAAAGAGAAACATTGTTTTTTTTAAAATTTTTAATGCTTTCCCGCATCTATCGTTTTCCCGCATCTATCGTTTTTATTCCCCCCCCCCGCCGAAAACGATGCATCGAGGTTTCACTGTAACGTATTTCAAAATACCTGAACATGACTAATTATCCATGCTATGAAGACAAAAAGTAATTATACTGTATTTGTAACAATCTGAAGCCTGATTACCTGCTCCAGAAGAGCTGGAGGAGCATCGTAAAGGTGTTTCATAAGATACTCCAGAAGCAACAATAGACGGGACAAATGCAAAAGCTGAGAATCACGCATGGGCTGGTTCACTATCTCAGAGCAACGGATAACTCCTCCTGCAGTCAGCAAAAGCACTGACTTCTTCTGCATTAGGTTCAATGCATGGAACAAAAACAGAAGAAGTTGGGCATGTTCCACATTCAGATCTGAAAACATAAAAGCACAGTAAAACTTATGAAGTCTACTTCCTTTCAAAAGCTTCTATCTGAATAAGGAAGCAAGATGATCTTACAAATAAGTTTAGTGTATTAGAATATAAAATAAGCAAATAAACAACTATTAACACTATAAAAAAGACACTAGTGCCATACGCGTTTCAACCTCAAGAGGTTATCATCAGTGGCAACAGGGAAATTAATTCATTTAATCAAAATGGTTTAAAATTGGTCTAAACTATATTTAGACCAATTTTAAAATACATGGTACATTATCTTAGAAGACAGTTATCATCAACTACGCTGACACTTCATCAAATGCATCCACATTTTTTTTAATTCATTTATTCATTATTGTTGTTCTTGTTATGACAAAAGTTCCTTCACTTCTCACTCAACCACATACACAAATTGTATTTTAAGTTAGTGGATGGACACTCACCTTCATTTTCAACTTCAAAGGTATTAGGTGGATTACAAACATTTTCAACCAATGTGTTAACTAGTCTATGCCAAATACTGATACAAGCAGCTTCCTTCTCCTGCTGTGACTTCAGCAATAAAACCTGAAAATGACAATTACAATAATTCAAATAATGTATTATTCATACTTTTAAAGTTTTAATTTAAAGTTCCTACTTCTTGCTCATACAGCATCATGCATCCTGTTACTTGCCTGTAAGAATTTGTCCAGTACCTTTGTGAGAAAACCTTAGTCTCCTATTTCAGTGTCAGTAATCCATGGCAGGTCTAGGCAGTTTGCACTTGTTCTTATAAATTCTGTTTATTGCCTTGGACACATTTACATGTTATTTAAAATATAAAAAGTTTGTAACATATCTTTCCCCTCATTCTCAGGTACTCCCACATTTTACCTAATGTCAACGTATTTTAAAAGACAAGTGTAGTGTATATATAACCATTACAAGAATCATCCCGTCTGCTAAAAACAACAGCAGTAAATGTAAACTTTCTGGTACAAATAAAAATACAATGTATCATAAACCAACTGCAAATCCAGTATATTATAGGATAATCACTGAATATTACAGAATAGTCCCATTTCTTCCATTCTGCCTATACAGTCAAAGCCTAGTATAAGTGACAAAATTAGTTACCGGGAAATTTAAACAAATCAGGTCATATTTTTAGATTAGCTTCACAATTAATTTTGATTAATTTACATTTTCTCCATAAAAAATCAGTTACAGCATTATTAATGACAAATGTCTGTGTGACTAGCATCAATACACATGTAACACAAATTATGAAGTGAGAGAAATTCTAATTCTTTTATTTTAATATTGTAAACTGACTAACAATTCACAGACCATTTACATTGATACTATGCTGAAAATAAACTTGAAAAAACCAACTCTGGGATCAAGAATGAGGCATCTCAAAACAGTAAACTGTGTTTTACCAAAATCTTATGGAATTACCTGTGCCAGAACAGCCAGTGTTCTTGGGTAAACCTGCAGAGGCCAAGTGTTACTGGTATCCTGGGACCAAGGACTTACACAAAGATGATTCAAAAGAGTCCCTTGAAGACTTTCAGTCAAGATGTTACGTGCCAGCAAATTATGAGTGTATCTTGTAAGAGCCTGAGAAAACTCACTGTACAGATTCCCAAGCACTGCTCCAAAGTATACTGAAATTGTGCCTGAAATACAGGAATGTTTGTCTTTAAATAAATATGCTGGTCAGTTACAAAGTAAACTTACTAAACCATTAGAACATGAACACTGAAACAAATATTCTATTGTTCCATAACAGATAGATGCAAATAAATATAAAACAATGCCAATTATTTCTAGTAGTAGGAGTTTTATGTTAATTTTTTCCCTGCCTATAACACAAATATTTCATACTAAGACTCTTAGATGACTACAAATTATTTGTTCAATCTCCTTTCATAATATCCATGTGAAGTCACAACTAGCGAACATTTTGTCATCAGAAAATAGCAAAAATTATTAAACATTAATGATCTCTACAGATTTCCTTAACACAAGCATAAATGCATGAAAAAAATTCTAATTTTACTGAATAAATGTAATACGTAAATTTTATAATCAATCACTTATTATCAGCTTTGACAATCCTCATACTGCAGCTTCATCCTCTCAGAGCAATGTTCTTTAACATAAACCATCATTATTGTCTGATATATAACTCCATTATCACTTGGCTTGAAGTGGAAGTTTATGCAGATAATTAAGATAACTAGAAATGTTGAATACAAACACATCCATTCCTTGCAGAAGACTCAAACCATGACTGAGCAAAACTAGACCAAACCCAAGGTCTATGTGTTTGTGTGCATCCACTTGTATCCATATGTACATCCCCCTTTGAAACTTCTGAACCAATTAACCACCAATTTTTCATAAAATTTGGTATGTTTTGAATATTAAGTTACTGGAGGCAATCTGAACCTCACTTCCTTATTTCCTATAACCAATAATAAGAACATTAAGATCTTTTAAGTGAGAGAGAATAATGCCACTTAATGTAGGGTCCTGGTAGCAGATCTTTAGAAAGTAGATGACTTCTGCTTCAATATTTTTTGCAGAATGTAAAATAAAATAACAGCCATAAAAGATTTAATTTAGCTTCCAGGTTGATGGTGATAACCAATGAAACACTGGAGCTATGAGTATGAAATTTGGTATGGAGAAAGATCACAATCATACACATCATGAAATTTTATATATATAATAAAACATTATTTACAAGTCAACAAATTATAAATATAGTGATTCTGCGGTTATATCTGACAAATTTAACATAGAATCTGTATTTAAGTAAAACATTTTTCCTGAAAAGGAAGAAAAATAATAATCTATATTGTAACATATTCACAGATTCAAACAATAAAGAAAATGCTAATCTGCCTTTTACTGTCAGGTTATAAAATTACATTACCTGAATAAAACATTAACACAAAATTTGTAGGACTGGAAATCTGCACAACAGGAAAGCAGGCTTAAAGAGTTCTACCTTCTACTCCTGCTGTTTCGAAGTGGCCATTCTGCACCCATTACTTGAAATAACTGTTCAATGTGTCCTGAGAAAAGGTATTATACCTGTTTCTGTACGAGCTGTCTCCCTATCCAGATCCCTGATAATGGCTGCCAAAATCACCATTTGTTGTTCTGCCAGTCCTCCTTGGATGTAACGTACAATGAATGGTGATTCACTGCTTAGTAAGTACTTGTTCATGAATTGAAATATCTGTGATGCCAGGAGTATGTACTACACAACAGAAACAAGAACACGATATAAGCACTTCATATACTGACATATATACATTTCTGCATAACTTTATAAACAATCAAGAAACACAATCTCATCAAGATTTTGCCCCTTCAAATAATATGATAATCAAGTTTAGTGAAAACTATCATCTACAAACTGAAAGCAACACTTACACCATGAGGTTCCCCTTTTTCAGGCACAATAGAGCCTGCTCTGTCTGTGTTTTTCCCAGCTCCTTCCTGAGAATCTGCTGCTGACTGAGCCACATGTGATCCTGGAGGTGTCTCAGGAGGTGCCAGTGTTTCTTCAAACCACAGTCCTAATATTGGTTCACTATCATCATCTGAATAGAAATGTAAACTTTTGGTCAATTTTACACATACTGGAATTTTGTTTTGAATCTCTAAAATGATTCAAAAAAAGTTATATATTTTAAACTACATATTGAATAGAACACTTATAACTTACCATCATCTGCTGAACTTTCTTCTGAGCAGCTGAAATCATCTTCATAATAAGTAGTTGAATCTGAGGTGCTAAAAGTGTCTCCTTCTGGTGGATGTTTCTGGATTCGTTTCAGAGTGCAAGCCTACATGGAAATACACATCAATGTAGATAATCTGGGCATATTCCTACTCAAACAAAGTTGATAAATTAAAGCCAAGTATATAATATGGTATACACAAACATATACTATACGCACAAACTCAGTAACATGGAGCATATGAGTGAACAGCTGTTACACTCTCTTTGAAAGAAAACAATATAATAAAAATATTTTTAGTAGATACAACAGACAAGTCAAGACCTGCATGGCAGTTTGTTTAATCTACAACCAATGTATTAATGAAAGAGGAATAAGGCTTGTGAAAATTATAATGAATTTTGTGTTTGTACATTATGTTTTGAATGAATAATGCAACGGCTGTCTTTGTAAGTTCACATGTGATTGGACAGATTCTGGGTTTATTGAACGATTTTTATCAGCTGCCTAGGTTATATAGTGCCAAATAGTATGACAAATGAATCAGGAAAGAGGTAGGAGGAGGGCACTGCCTGTTTTAGGATTCTACACTGGCATTGGCACTTGATTTTACAATATAGGAACAAAAAACAGATATACAGGGAAAGTAATAAGCTTCCATAACATAGCACCTTTCTGTAACTGATGGTAGCAAGATAAAAAAGAAGCTGATTGAGTGGAGCAGCAGCAAGAAATTTAGCTACACGTTGCAGAGCAGTAAACTGGCTGAGAATGTCGAGACTTGCTGGTTCTACTTCCAGTTCTGGTCCTTGATTCAGAGACTCCTGACAGCAAGCAGTTTCTACTTGGAGGTCATCTAGAAGTGCTGACATCATGGTCAATGCATGTGATGCCAATGCCACTGACAACACTCCAAAACCCTGTTGACTGAAAATACAAACTGGGTTACTTTAAAGTCCATATACATAAAATACTCTTCACTGTAGCACAACACTATAGCAAATTATTCCAGCCAAAGGTGGCAACTCTGCTAACAATAATCCTGTTTCTTATAGATTCAGATACAGCTTCCCATCAATACAAAATATCCTTTCCTTTCCACCAAATTATATCAATTTTCTGTCCAACCAAACTATGGAGTTCATTTTATTTGTGTATCAAATTAATAATCATCCACATGTCAGCAACAGTTAATCACTTCAAAATCAGATAACTTTACATTATTAATTACTTTACAATCATATATCTTTGCGGTTTCATTAAATTTTTAACCAAACACTAAAATCACTCATAAAAGGAACAGAAAAATCTACCAACACTTTCATAAGGTTAATCCTGCTGGAGCCCTCACGTAACTTATTAGGAGATTTTCCCTTTTCATCTTTGCCTTTATCAGCTGCCAAGAAGCTTGATGCTGACAACTGCATCTGAAGTCCTGTGATTAGTACCCACACTCCAATAAGCAAATGGTTTTGTAAAATCTGCGAAACAAAACATGTACAAATATAATCCTACAAACTGTGGTAAATTACAAAGTTATGACCAGCTCCTGTTGGCATTCAAACATTATATGCTTTAGCTGCCTATTCACAAATCTATGTCATATCATCAAAAACACATTTTTCAATGAAAACAGTCAAATAAGACCATTATGAAAATAAAAGAAAACTTCTAACCATACCTCATGGGAAAGTGGATGTTTGTAAACAAAATGGTATCCTCATCATTGCTCATGTCCTATGCTTCAACAAGGAGAAAATCCCTGCTAGAATTTTGATATGCGCGCATGCGCAAGATTTCACGATGAGTTGCTACTAGCCATCCTAAAAGTATTCAACCCACAACCACTGAACAAACAACAGACAACAGTCTTTCATGTATTCTAATGGGTATAGCCTTAAGATTACCTCACAGTGGCACAGTGATTGAATCTAGAATATTATCACAACACCCACAGAACACAGGGCAGGTGCACTCACTACGCACTACTCTTAACTGCTTGATGTTTTCAGTCTGTGTGTAGTAGTGAAACTCTCTGGCATGTCATACTTCCCACCAATAGCAGCCCGCTAGTCCACCTGATAGTGAACATTTCCCCTGCACCACACCAGAACTGCCTTCCCCCTGCAGGGATTTTCTCCTGGCCGGTGGACAGTACACATGCCTTTCCACCACCTTTACACCACACCCAAAATTTCAGAATATCTAATGCAGTATAGTATATATATGGATTCTTCTGTATATTTTAAACTTAAAAGGAATACAAATGTTATATCAGTAGTCACTAATTAACTTACTGCAGCAGAGTTAAAGAAGCTGTTACCATACACCTAGTCAAGAAATACCCTGCTTATTATGGAACATTACAGAGTTCATAACAGCCTTCCACCAAGGCCCCACACTGCGTCATATATTTTCCAGTCTTTAAGATGCAAATTCATATTTCCTTCCATGCAAGCCTAGGTCTCCTAAGTGACCTCTTTTCTTCAGGTTTTTAAACTAAAATTAAAATTTCTCATCTCTCAATGCATGTTACATGACCCACCCATCTCATCCTCCATGTTTTAATCACCCTAATAACATATGTGGAATAGTACAAATCATGAAGCTCCCCATTCTCCTGTTATGTCCTCTCTTAAATTCAAATATTCTCCTCAGAATTTTTCTCTCAAACACCTTCGATCTATGTTATCACTAATTACACAAAACAATTAAGATTAAACAATTATTACACAGGTATAGTAAAGACATAAAATGTAAGGAAAGCAGAAAACCTACACACATTCCAAATTCTCCAAATCACTGAAAAATTTGAAAAACTGTATCTAAAATAATAAAACATGTTTTGGAACAACACAAAGAAGTTTCACACTTTACAATAAAATTAAATACGCCAGATAAACATACATGTCCTCCGGCCCTAGTCGAAATCTTTATGACTCCAGACACCAATGAGAATATCTCCAAAGCTTTCTCCACAACAGTTATAGCATGACTATCTGCACCTCCTTCATCATCTCCACCTTTCACTGCAGAAGCACCTGCAAATATTCAACACCAATTTTCATCCAAACAAATATATCTGTACAAGTTATAAAACAAGCTTGTAGGGTAACAAAAATCTAGTCAACAAGGACACATGACATCCAAAAATCCAGACCAGAAAGACTATAGACAACCACGAGACAGCACCACAAATAGAGGAAAGACAGGAGTTTTACAATTCTACTGGGTCTTTGTATCTATGAAATACAGAAAACTAGAGGAATGGCATGAAAACACAGCAAACCCAAGTATAAGAATGATATAGTAAATATAGGCATGATGTGACAGGCATTAGCATACAAAGGGGACTGACAGAGGACACAAAAGATTAAAGAAATAGTATAGATAACACATGAAAATGGTAGGACAAATGACAGAATGGGTAACTTCAGATCCCCTTTGCAATCCCCCTGATATGAAATGGACTGACCCATCTTGAGAGGAGCTGATTAATGAAAAACTGATAATCTGTTTCAATATCAAAAATTGCAAGAAATCATCAACTTTAAATCTGTTAATCTCTAATTCTGACTTACCTGAGGCAGTTCCTGTGTACTTAGGTGAAATAGCAGATGAGATGCCTAGCAAGCTGCTGGCTGTTGCATTTGAAACAGCACAATACAAACATGACATAGTGAGGACACACAGCTTCTCTAACTTCTCTGGAGTCAGTGGTTCTAATACTGGGAGTGATAGGGCACTCCATGTTAAACTAATGTCATTCACCACAGCCTGAAGGCTGAAAACCACGATTGTAATTCGTCAGCAACATAATTACTGTATAATGCATGGCACTATTTGGCAGAATAAACAAACTGTACAATACAGGAAATGCAGCAACAGGGACATTTTGCAAAATGTTCTGAAATATAAAAACAGGTGGTTGCAATACCAAACCCACAAAATCCCAAATATAAACCATAAATAAAGAAACCATCAAACTAGAACACAACAAATGACTTGCACTTTTTTGGCTGATATATCTGAATTTTTTGTTAATTTATATTTTGGTGTGCATACACTCACACACACACACACACACACACTGACAGGGAAACAATAAATTCAGACAATTTTAAAATGTCACTGAGAGAAAATATTAAATGCAGTACCACTGTAACAACAAACAGATAATTAAAAATGTTCAGAAAGTAAAAATCTTATCCTCTACAAATCACAGTACCATACTGAACATGAGAAAGGTTCACATTACTGTAAAGTGAAGTTGTCCCACCACATGGCATAAATCACTTGAGGGAGCAAGGTCATATTTTCCTGACGCTAGATGAGGCAAGAGGTCAGAATCATGCCTCAGCCATACTTTATTCCCTACAAAATAACCTCCTGATATCACTGGATAGGAGGCTGGGTAAGCCCAAGAGCTAGCATGGACATAGAGGCTAGGCAAAATATCCTTTGCCCCTGCCAGGGATCAAATCCTGGTCATCCAGTCCAAAGTCACACAATATAATGACTGAGCTACCCTGGCTCATTAATTGCACTCTCTCAAAATTAAATACCACACAAGTTACCTTCATTGTACCACTCTCATAATTATATATGACACAAGTTACCTGTGTCTAACTAATGTAGCCTCTGAATGGGATGCAGGAAGACTGAAGCCTTTCTTAGCAACAGCATCACGATACTTGTGAATGTAACGAGTTAAGTGTGGTAGATTCAAACACATGTCAATCAAGATGTGACCAGCACGCAATGCTTGAAGGCTTGCAACATTTTTCTGGATGAACAGATTCTATGGAAGAAAACAAATGAATGTGAAGAAAACTTAAAAAAATATGTTTGGTATGAAGCAAATTAAATCCCCAAGTTTATCATAAAGTGCAGTTAATCTTACACCAAATGTTAACACTATAAATTGACTTAAAATAAATATTCTTCTTTTGGCTGATGAATCTGAATTTCAAGAAGTATACAGAATCAAATGTAGTTTAAAACAATAAAAAATATTTTTCTTAAACGGAAAATAAAAGAGTTTCATTTGTAAAAATTGTCACACTGCCAGTAATGGACACTGGAACTTCAATAATGAGCACTAGAAATAGTAACTGTAGTATACAACAAACACTCAAAGCACCAGCAACAGAAGTTTCACTAGGTAACAAACTCCATCATCAGGGTATTTCCCTGTTAATGAATGTTAATAAAAATAAATTGTAAAACAGAGATAAGAACCAGTTCCCCGTTCTAAAGAGCAATTCCCACTAAAAATATTTAATTTATAAACTTCATCATACACATAACTGTGGAGACAGCATCAAACACAAACATTACCTCCAGACCCAGAAAATTAGGTTCAAACCAATTATCTCAACAAGAAAACATACCTTGGTATCCTGTCCTGGGTCAGCACCTGTACTCAGATTGTTGGATTCCATTACTTTATTGGCAGGCAGCTCAGAACTTTCTGGCAACTGCGGCCTTGGTACAACAAAATCATGCAATGGTGTTGTCAACTGTTCTAATATTGAAGCAGACAAATCTGATCGAGATCGTTTTGGTTCCTTGACAGAAACTTCTTTCTCCCCTAGAAGATAGAGCAATGCAATGCAATGCAATCATAAAAATGCATATACCACCAAAAAACATCACCAATGAAGTATGCTTTGATCATATTAGGTGAAATATCCATTTGCATACTTTTTAAAGTAATTTATGTCTTTATAAAAAACTCTTTTTTTCACTGTTTGGTTCCACCTCACTCACATATTTTAGATATTCCTTCCTTTTATTCCACACTGAAATAATTATCTAAAATATATAAATCATGCATATAAACAAGACTGTGAACACTGCTCAATGCATTCTAATTTAGACCACATTTTATAAACAATGGATTATTTTGCAAAATTCTTACACCTTAGATTCATTTAAGCTCAGATATTTTGACACTGTCAAAGATCCTTTCCCATACAATATTAAGATTAGTTTAATTATGCATGTATTTTCTTTAGTCATCCCATAATGCAAAACTGCAGATGCTAAAAGTTCTACACCATCCAGTTTTCTGATATAAAATTTCTTCATTTCACATTCCTTCCTTCTATGTTTTTGACTTGGTAATTACCCCAATTCTTTGCAGTCCCTAAACATGGTCAAAATCACAGTCAACCCATCTGTAAAGTCAGATATCAATTACACTTAAATGTATCCTTGTATCAATTAAAATATAATCACTTTGATTATTGATCATCCCAACATAACTGCAAGACACCAGATTGGTAGATAAAACTGTTCTTTCAGTAATGGACATACATTAAATAAATTTCTCCATACATATGTGGCAAAATTATCAAACGAACACCCTGCCTCATACAAAATTCAGGAATTAACTGGTAATAGAGATCAATGAGAATTTTTGAAGTACAGCAGACAAACAGAGAGAGTAGCTTCCCACTTCTGACAAGCTGGGTGGAAAAATGCACATCTTGCCCCACCCAGACAAAAAGCACAAAATTGTTGCAGTCTACTTGAACTGAAAGGCTCCAGATGGAAGGAGAAAAATTGTAAATATTTCTCCAGACATCTCACTATTGTTGTTGTTTCTCGGCACTACAACCCTGTTGTGGGTTTTCGCAGCCTCCTTTTCGGAGGTTTCTTGGTCTTGATCGTGCATGAAGCAGCGAGTGACCAGCCCACTAACTCTGCACAATTTCTATTCAATCCTGATTTGACTGCCAGAGCCATCTAGCAGTTAATCAGGAGATTTTTCGGTGAGAAATAGCCACTGAATTTTGCTTACAAAACATCTTGTATCATGGTTGTAAGGTTCTTTTACATGCCGTAAATCTATGACATGGGGCTGCCGGCTTTACTTCCCCTCCGAAGGAAATTGTGCTACGGATTTTTATCAAGCTAACCACTAGTTCACCGAGGGCGACACATCTCATTATTAATGTACTATAATTTTGTACTGACAAACCTCCAGTTTATGTCAAGTAGCTTAAGTTTAATAGACAGTAATTATCATAATTCTAGGAACTTTATTTGCACCAAACCACTTGCAGATATGAAGAAAGAAAGTGGGACTGGAAAGGCTTAAATCGCTCATGAAAGAAAGGCAGCTCACTGCTGCTTCAATGCACAAAAATATGCATGTTTATACATAACCCAATGAGTTAAAACATGTGATGTACCTGGTGTACTAGTTTTAATGTGGGCAGGTAACTTCGCATTTTTCATTATGGCAGTAAGAGATATTTGATCAGCCCGCTGAAGCATTCCTTCCGCACTGCAAAGAGCACGTATTGGAAGAAGCAGCTGTTTTGGAGACAACATAGCACCTGTTGTTGCCACTGTTTCACCAGTGCTCTGTGCTTGTAAGTGAGACAACAGGTACTGTAGCAGAATGCGGCATGCCTGGCAAACAACTCCCACTTGACTCTTACATACTATAAGAAAAACAAATGATAAGACAACAATAACAAAACAATCTAGATTAAAATACAAGACAATTTATCATACACATAAAAATTCAATTTCATAGTTTCCAAACAGCTTACTTTAAAGAAAACCGGGGCAAGGAATGGGTTTTTTTGTTGGTAATCAATTAAATTCTCTAAAATACTCACATGTACTAGCACTTGAACTAATGTAATCTGCAGCCAATGCTGCAAATGCTGTGTAGAATGTTTCATATTCATCCTCATGATTCAGAAGCTCACTTTCACTGGTAAAGAAATCAAAGAACTTGCTTAGTTACGTGTTCACAGAAAGCATATTAACTTATTCTCATACCATGTTCTGAGTAACAAGTCAAACAAATATTATTTGCTAGTTTTCTACATGTTTATTAACAAAGGGAAAAAGTTGATTCACTTGCAATACACACAGGAATAAAACAATTTTATTTATCATCCATGTATTTTTATGCATTCAATGCATACATGCAATAGACAGAATAAACATATAATAGGAAGGAAATGGCAATGTGTCTACCTGCATGTTTCATTTTAAAACTGCACAAAGATTACAATTAAATCAGATACTGGAAATTCTACACACATCAAACACAGTTTGGAAGACTTGTCAAAGTACATATATAACTATTACTTTACATGGAGCTCAAATTTCCTGACATTCTCACTGCACAGAAAAGTTGTGCATGACAGAAAATAGAATAACTCATCAACACCATTTACTTTACAATATCTTTTATACTCTGTGAAGTATCTGGCAAAATACTGGAAATCTGCTTGCACTTATCAGTAAACAACAAAGCTGTGTACATTATTGTTTCAAAAAAACCTGAACTTTCCAGACTAAAATGGTAAATCATAAAACCTTCACACAAAAAGGTGATAGGACATGTACTTTAAATTAATGTCAATTTTTTGTTTGTTTTATAAAATACTTGAGGTTACAAGAAGAAGAAGAATCAATCCACACAGAAAGAAAAAACTATGAAGTTCCTTGGCCTCCAAATTGATAATAAACTGAACCTGGAAAATTACATTATTTTTACTGCTGAGTTAGTTGCACCCTACATCAGAAGGATTCTAAAATTTATTATAAGCACTTGTTACAACTGTTAGTGGCCTTTTGCTGATCAGCTTTTGGCAAGGAACGTGGGCCTACTTTTTAAACCAATAGTAATGGGACCCACAAATAACTTTTTGTTCATTAAAAACAATATTAAACTTCGAACTTGTCACATGTTTGATATATATCAATATCTACTTGGACGACCAAAATTTCTATTTCGTCTCTACATTCCGGAACAAAGTACATTCGACCATTTACTGAAAATGCTCTTAACACACAAATTTTATTCAAGTTACCTTCTATTAATAGCCTTCACAAGCTCCAGCACATCACTTTTGTTAAAAGAACCATATGATGCTGCCAAAATTGGTTTCACTATTGAAGCCCATTCTACACCACCACTATTTGCAGCCATTTTTCTTTGTAGTCGATGAAGTTTCAAATCACAGAATGAAAACATATAGATGTATTTAACAAATGAAGAGCCACAGATAGCAAAGATTTATCGGTTTCGAACATTCACTATAACCCATGGAAACCTAACTATAAATGGTTTCATGACAAAAACCCACATGAAAATTAAAGCACAGAAAAAAACCCACAGCCATAAATGCTCGCATGAAAAATGCACACACGGAAAAATTCTCACACGTTTAAATGCTCGCACGGACGAATGCTCGCACAAAAAAATACGCACATAGAAAAATTCTCACATTCACAATAATATCTAGTAATACAATCTTAATAAAGCATTATTTGCATGCTATGAAGTGAAGTTCAAACATACTAACCTAACCTAACCTACCCTTGGCCCCCTTTGGCCAAATTTGTTTTTTGTAAAATAAAAATAATGTAGAATTATTCAATGTGCGTATTTTGTTGTCAGAAAACATGGTTTATTAACCATTCAGCCACCTCACGCGGCTTGTAACCCGAGAGTCTTTCAAACTTTCGTATGCTTAGAAGATGTTGTTCGACCATCTCTGATTGAAACTGCCCTGAGTTATAAACAAAGATGTCGTCTGTAGGTGCATGGAAGAGGTGAAAGCAAATTAAAACTATTGAGAACAAATGTGTAGTACTTTTCTCGTTTCATTGCTTTATAAATGACAATTTCAGTATATGTAAATTTTTATTTTATTGCTTTCTGAATGTGAACTAAAGTTTGTTTCTTAATTAATGTTGTGGTTATGTCTCTTTCTCCCGATTGTATGGTGAAAACACCATAATTATGACAATCGGCCCACTCAAATAGTATATATCTATCTGAAGGAGTGTTTTATGCATGTGTGCTTTGTATTCTAGGTTGGGAAAATGTGAAGTGTGCAACGATCAAGAGGCAAAATACACATGTCCAAGATGTGAGGTTAAGACATGCTGTATAACATGTGTAAACATCCACAAGAAAGAACTGGGCTGTAATGGACAAAGGAACAAGATTGCATACAAACGTATTTCGGAGTTTACAAATTTAGACCTCTTAAGTGGTATGTGGCTTAGTATTGCTGAATGTTGTTACTACATACTCCGTTTTGTTATAACAAGAATAGGCATCTTGCCCCACCTAGTGTCATCTAGAATAATGTAAATGTCCGCACTCCCTTATACTGCTAAGGAAAATTAAATGGCATAAGTATTCCCTCAGCAGTTGGTAGATAGGTGTTTTAACTGTTAAAAGAATAATTTATGGAACTTGAAAGTTAATCACAGTAAACCACAAAAGCACATGAAAGGATTTTTTCACCAAGTTATTTCAGCTGTGTTTACATACCTGATTTGTTTCTAACAAAGATTTTATTTTTACATGTTGAAATACAGACAAGTTGTAGGAAAGAATAATTTAGCATTTCTGGCACAGTAATCTTGCTTGCTATATGAGATGGACTTTGTTTTCTAGATTACAGACTTTTGGAGGAAACAACACGCCATGTTGAAACATATGCTAGAGATCCATCAAAGCATTACACTGCATCAAAGGATTTGCCTATCGTAAGTAAATATACTTGTATGGGTTATGCCACCATGTTGTCTTGTCATTCATGATTTTAATATTATCCATTTCACAGTTTAAAACAAGTGTAGAATGCTATCTCAGTCTTTGCAAGTGTTTGGCTCAGCATATTATGAATCATGCAATATAGTTCACATCAAAATTTTTATTCAGCATAATCCTGAGCCACTTCAGTCTGTCTTGCATTTTCAGTCTAAGTTCTAGTTTAATATTATCTTACATTTACACCTTGAATTTCTGAAAAGCCATTTTCCAAGATGACTCCATATGTCTTTTAAGCCAAGAAGTTAGGTCCACTCAACTACAGGAGAATTGTGTGTTTTGATAGATCTTTCCTGGACAAAAGGACGAGACATTGTAATTGTAGAGAATAACATATACTACACAGTTGGATATCATAAACATGGATTTGGAATTATTTTACGGTTGTGTTCGACTGTAAAAATAAGAATAAGAATAATGCAGTCTTGCAGTGTTTTCAACCAGAATAAAGAATACTCATGTGAATCACAATTTTCAGAATCTATATAAGCTGCGCGCAGCAGCTCACAGAAGAAGAACAAATTTACAGTTCCTGCCACACAATTTCACACGTAGCAAGGCAAATTCAACATACTTTAATTGGAAAGAACAACTAATTTACTGGAGGGTAGAATGGATCTTCCCCCATGCTGACAATATAAAATGTGTTGGAAGAAGGTAGGACACTAAAAAATTTTGAGTGTATTTGAATTTGAACCAGTTTCAACTCCAGAGTACATTTACTATGTAACAGAAAGAAATGTTTTGAGTTAAGTTTTTTTCTTTCAAAAAACCCAAGACAAGTATAGAAAAAAGGGAATGATGTATTGAATATCTAAAAAAATAGAGAGTAAGATCAAAAAGAGACGGCTGAAATAAAGGCAGAATTAATGGAATGTGACTGGATTTAAATCATTCACACATGTTACAAACCTGTATTTATCATTGTCCATATTTTTCCTTACTTTTGCCCTGATAAGAAATCTTCAGTCATAACTTAACCATACAGGCTTTTAGGGTTGAGGATCATAAATAGTGGACAGTGTGTATGCTTAATTAGTGAAAAATTCACAGTGCAGTTCACTGTATCATTTGTGAGCTTGAGTACCAGTAACTATTTAAAATACTCTAACAAACAATAAATTGTTTCAGATTACTTGAAAGTGAGCCATTGTCAAAACTTGTAAACATTTACCTGGACCCAAAGGAATGTGACCCACTGTATCAAGATAAGTTACAGTACTACCAATCTGCTGGTCTCAGAGGTCTCTTGTTACTGCTCAAAGCTGAACAGAAACCTGGAACATGGTTTTATCAGCTGGACTCCTCACTTAGTTTAAAGGCCAATCTTAAGGAAAAAACAGTAATAGAGTTCCCTACAATATATGTTGTTCTGAAGGACCACAAGGATGCATTTGCTATTCTGGAATCAGGTGAACTTTAGTACTAATCAGTTAAGATATATGTAAAGATAAGTTTTCCTATTGCTAAGCCCACACTATGTACGTGTGTAGGGTCACACATTTTTCATTTCAGCACAAAATGGAGGTGAGTGACCAATTCATACTCTGGCTATTTTATCCCATGGAATAAACTTCTAGTACCTGCTGGATAAAAGACTGGTTAGACACCAGAGCCATTCTGGATCAAGAAACTGTTTTCACCATCCATCATATAATCTACTATTATATAGTTATAAAAAATACAAAAAATATGTAGAGCTGCATTAACTTTTGAATTCTGCAAAGTTTTATTGTTTGTCTACTACTAAGAAACTGAGGTTGTTATATTATGAGATACATTATTAATGGGGAAATAATTCCAAGAGAGATATGCACAGCTGTGCAGAAATAATTTGTTTACTGCACTCAGGCTGCTACTAATTATGTAATGAAATTAGTCACTCTTTTCCACTGAATCAGTGATCTAATGTGGTAGGAAAGTGGCCAATGACATTACAACCACCTCCACCACCCCCAAAAGAGGGAATTCTTTCTTTAACACCAACATTATCTGCAAAGTGGTGAACCAGTCTGACCCACTCATAAGAACATGGGCTGAGTACCATAAGAATTACTGTACACAGATTCGTTAACACAGTCTAGCCTACCACAATGTGGCTAGAATTAACATCATGTTATCTATAGTTTTGTATCATTATCTCTCTCTATCATTACTTAAGATAACTAGGATTATGATTCTCAGTCAGTATGCAGAAGCCAATGCCAATGTTAATCAGCTTGTATATGTGATCTTTCTGGTGATCACATCAGACTAATTGTTGCATGAATCTTAAAGTGAAGATAATACAATTTTGTCACATAATCAATAAACCTAATCAGCAAGTGTACCATTTTTCAAAATAATGCATATAGCAACAATCAGCTGAATCAGTCATTTTCAAAACATTAGTCCACAAAACTCACTTCCAAGGAAACTAACAAATTATTCCCAAAGGATAATTGACAAGGTTCTCCTTTTTTTAGTTATATGTCACTGTCATATTTTGCATCTAGAGTTATAAGCTAAAGTTACTTTAAACTCATGCTATTTTTACAAGTACCCACAAATTATTGGAGCACTGCATGACTGATTTCCTTATGTGACTTTTTCACTACTGGGGTGACTCATTTAAGTCACTTTATGGTTTCAGTGGTTTCTTTATAGTGAAAACCTGAAACAAATCATAGTAGTAAATTAACATGAGCCCGTGACTCGATGTCATTCTTACAGAAATCAGAAGATGGGAGAGGCTGCTCATGAGCAGTAAAGACATGGACTGATGTGGTTAAGCAAATGACTGATTCAATTCCAATAGTTTAACAGTTCAAGGTGAGCAGATTGAGTGAATCTTGCAGACTCTGGTCCAAATTCCATCAAAGGCATGGAAGTTTATATGCATTATCACTGTTTATCATCCTATTCTTTCCCTTAATTATAAGGTTCTCTCCATACAGATAAACCACATCCCAGGATACCTGGGAAAAGAGTATTTTAAGATGATTTGTTTTATTTCCTGCATCACTTTTTTATTTCAGATGAGGAGGATAAGGACAGAAATGAAGCCACCATCAACATGAACAACAAAAATAACTTGCTGTTTAACACCTCTGATTATTCTGAAAGTGAAGATGAATATAATACTTCTGTTGGCAGTAAGAAAAAGTATCCGAAGCTTGATATTCCACAGTATGATGTACTAATAGGACTTAAGTCTTGAGATGAAGAATTGTGTAGATGTTCTGAACAAATGTGTATAAGAAATTGACTGTAAAATTTTTGTTTCAGTGGTGTGAAAGCATGTTTGTGACCTTTCCCCTATGACTGATATAAATTGTATTCTCAATAAAGAATTATGATCAAATGTTTCTAATTATTTAGCTTCAAAGTAATTATAATGAACTGTCTCCCAAATGGTATCTTCCATGGTTTTCTCACTAAAATCTCCCATTTTCCCCATGCATGGTACATGTCCCACCTACCCATAATATTTCTTAAATATTTTTAATATCATATGAAGAATACAAACTGTAAAGTTACTCATTATATAATACCTGATTCCTTTCAGACAAGTTTCATGCCAATATAAAACAAATGGTAAAACTTGTAGCTTTAGCTTTACATATTCTAATCTTTCACTTTTTAGAGGCTGGAAGTAGAGTACTTCAAACTAAATCACAGCATGTAAATCCATAATTTAATCTAATCTTTGTTCAGTGTTCAGTCACTTGTTACACCGCATGTTCTGTGATACACAGAAAAGCAATAATGTACCATCCACCTAGCTACACAGTACATGATAACCTAGGAAGTTGTTTCAAAGGTGTTACAGCTCAAGACTGAAGCACTAAAAAAACGTGTGCACCAAGTAAGGAAATATTACAAATTGTAAATTTGAGTTTATTGAACCATTTATCTTGCCTTTCCTTATCCATAATTTTATTTATTTATATATTATATATATATTATTTCTAGCTAAGTATTTACAAGCCTTCAAGTTCACAAATCCAATATAAAATCAGAGCAAATGGGGGAGTATAAATACAAACCAGAATATGTATGGATATATTTAACAAAAGAAATTTATGTAACTTGTTCCATTCAAACTGCCAGATAACATTCCAATGTCAGGGAAAACTCCACACAAAACTGTTAGAATCTTAACACTTTTGTGTAAAGGCTATTTCTTCAGCAACTACAAATT